ATATAACTTCTATATCTACTTATTTAAGACTTTCTAAGCTAAGAGATTACGTCTAGCCTAGCTAGTAGATTTATAGGCTATTCTTAACTAGGCCTTATTCAGAATAGTAGAGAGAGAATAAGATCTTTTAATAACTAGAAGGTTATATATAAATTCGATTTAAGTAGGCCTTTCTACTATTCGCTCGTACTATATAGGAAATAGGTATAAGTTATACTATAAATATTTAAAAGACTACTTTTATAATAAGTTAAGTTTTATTAGGTATTTAAGCGTTTTAAGGTCTATAATAAATATATAAGGCCGAGCCTATTTCCTAGGATTAAATTTGCTTTATTACTTCTACTCTAAAGAAGACTTATTAAGTACTACTAGGATAGTATAATTGTTTAAATTTTAAAGTAGTATAAAAACTTGTATTCGCGGCTTTCCTATATACTAGAGAGATTATCTATTCTAAGTTAGAGTAGTGGAATAAACTAGTATTCGAGAAGTCTAAATTATAAAGATAAGACGTAGTATTTAGTTCTTAGAACGAATATACTACTATTTTCTTACGAATAAGTAAAAGCGATATAGAGTACTCTAGCGTTAAAACAGTAGTAGAACAGACGCTAGACGATATATACCCTGTTATAGTACTTTTATAACTTTTTAACCTAGATCTTTAACTCTTATATTCTCTACTATTTTATATAGAACAAGGACCGTTTATAAGAGACTTCTACGTTAATACCTTATAAGGGCGTCTTCGCTAAATTAGTACGCTAAATTACATAAGATATATAGGTTATAGACCCCGCTAGGGTACTACTTAAAGAGCCTCGGATTTAAGTATTTTAGACTCTAATATTTAACGTCTTAATAAATAGTCCTCCGGAGAGTTTAAGGGTTATTTTACTCTTAGTTTATAAAATCGTTATTAATTAAGCTATTATTTTTTATAGGGATTATAATTAGTTAATCTCCTTCTCCTAGCTTATTATTATTTTATCTTTTTTAGTAACTAGTTCTTTTTGTCCCTTAAAGACGGCCTAGGATATTAATACTTCTTTTTACTATACTAAATAGAGCTTTCTAATTAGTCTATAATATATAAGAAGTCTAAGTATTTAAAGCTAGCTAATGATATAAGAAATTAATAATAAGCCTCTTTTATAATAACTTATAATAAATAGATAATAAATAGTAGTAGTTTATTATGAATAAAGGAGTGCTTACTAAGTAACTCGGTGGGATGAACATCTTATATACGAGTATAATCCTTTATTAATAATACTATATTTATTATTCCACATAGTACAATTATTAGCTCTTTTGACCTACTTATACACCCCTTGAGCTAAGTCTTGTCTTTAGTTAGTTATATACCTTTACAAGTAGCGAGGCCTAGGATGTTAATACTTCTTTTTACTATACTAAATAGAGCCTTCTAATTAGTCTATAATATAGAAGAAGTCCAAGCATTTAAAGCCAGCCAGCAATATAAGAAATCAACAATAAGCCTCTTTTGTAGCGTGACGAATGGACGATAAACGTTTCATTATCCAATCCTAGATTCCGTTAAACGTACATCCTTATCTAAATTTTAAAAGCGACAAAAGCAATAGACGTCGCCATCACAATCGAACTAACCGTAATCTCTAGTGTTACAGCGTAGCCCAATTTCCAGGCTATTGAAATCCACGATCTTTCCCTGTAGTGATTTTTACGCTGGGACTCAAATGGGATTAATTAGAACTATTTAGCAGACTTTGAGAAACACCTGTGTTGGAAATGCAACTTTGTCGCAACACAAAAGTTGTCGCTCCAGTGGATTACCAAGATGGGAAACGGAACTGCTAGAACATCTTATGTAGAAAAGGTAATAATGTTTAACACCATGATTACAACATTAGGTAGGGTCCCTATTTTGAAATAGAAGGACTATAATGCCTCGCTACAGCTGGAAGTGAATACATGTAGTCACCTAATGCAGACTAGCGTACTTGAGGCATGTTAAGAAACCTGAATTCCTAGCTAGGTACCAAGTTAATTCAGCGACTTCTTAACAGTTATCTATTTCATATTACATACGGTTTACACTGGAGGCTACTGTCAACACAACCTACACAACCTCCACAATGAAACTTCTTAAACGAGCTTAGCGGACGTCCCTGAGAAGAAGAGCTACATGCAATCTCGGTCCTAGATGTATCGTTATTTTTCTGTATTTGATACTTCTGGCGCCTTCAGAATACGAGATGATTGATGTTGGTCGTGGGAAGTTTGTGGGTAGCAGAGGAGAAACGACGCATGGCTTGAAATGTGGGTTGAGGTGATAAACCTCAGAGTGTCGAATCCTGGGCACATCACATTTTCGGGAAGACACATCCTGACAAGGGAATAGATATCTACCCCATCCTAGTGCTTGTGTTGTATGCAAATCCAAGGATAAATACAGCCAACACCATTGGTTGCCCACCACAACCAACAACACATCACATTGATCCATCCGGAGCCTCGATGGTAAGATCGAGCCGAGATTACAGGGGAGCAACGAATTAAATTGTTTCGATTTAGAGACGCCACCAACCCTCAAAGGTTCCCGCTTTCAAAGTGCATCCCCGAGTTAATAGGGCCAGGCACCTAGTCCGGACGAACGTACTCGGGGGCCATTTGGGAGACTGGTAAGTTACTTGTAGCTAGTTAACTACTTAATACAAAAACTTCTTGGCCTATTTCATATCACATACGATTTACTCCCCGTCATTGCCTCAAGTTATGAACGTCATGCCAGACCATCAAAACAGTAAATCTTGTCTTGAATCCCGTAGTAGCGGGAAGTTTACTTAGCTTTCTATCTTCAGAGAGTTGAAGTGATCAATGGAACAAGTTTGCACCTCCATTAATGAAGCTGGCGCGTGATGGACCAGGCGTCGCTCCAGCTGCAGACATGGTCAAGACATCCAACGTCCTCTTCCCATTCCAGGAAGCTCTAAAGGTTCTATTTCAGCTATTCAAAAGTGCTTATCTTCTTCACCCCCCGCTTCGAGTGGGTGTCCTTCTTAAGCGAGGTCAAGATATCATCCATACTACTTTCAAAAGATCCCATGTACTGTACAGATATTTATTCGCGGTATCTGCCAGCTTCAATATTGTAGCAGTTATAGCAGCTTAGCAGCTACAACCGTAAGCCGAATTGTGGCCCCAAATCATCGTGCTGTGGTTGGCAATATCGTAGCCTAGGAAACCCGAGATAAGCCCACTATGTCCGAAAATGGAAAATCAGCAACATCCACCATGGTATTATTATGTTCGGCGCACAGGCCTCCAGACAGATCAACAGAAATTCCCGTCGCAAGCGCCGTCCAAATTAGACTCGTTGACCTTTTCGACCGCAGATAGTCGACCATGGCTGGCTTTCCAGCCATCATGGGGAACATGCCCAAGGCACCCTTATTCTGGCTGTTCCTACCAAAATTGCTCCGGATAAGCAAATTTACACCGGCGTCAATCGTGGCTTTCAAACGATGTGGTTCGCGTTGTTAATGTCATATCCGGTACTCATGATAACGGCATCTTGGCCCTTGAATTCTGCCACCATCTTATCTTGAAGGTAGTCATCGGAGACGCAGATAGAGTTTAGGTTGTAGAAAATGTGCTGGTAAAAGAGTTTCGAAAAACCACTATGAGATTGAAGGTGGGATTCTCATTGAGGGCAAAGAGGACGTAGATCCCAAGGTTTTTAGTCATGCTAGTCCGAGTGGAAGCCTACATAGGTAACAAATCGGATTCGCACTAATTCTCTCAAAAATAATCATCAAGAAGAACGGTGATATGGAGGCAATTTCGAAAGCGCTCAATATATATTTACCCCTATTAGGGCAAAGTTTTTTCAGACATAATAATATTAAAACTACAGAAATGGTTAAATATCGTGGGTGCTTAAAGAACGTCTAAATTAACTGAGATAAGAAAAAGGGGTTTTAAGAACTTCAACCAAATTGTGCTTAAAATAGAAAGAAAGCCTCCAAAAGACTTTGGACTATCCAGGAGAGTTATATACAGTGGAACCAAAGTCTTTTCTGGCTCTTGGCGCTCCGGGTTTTCAATCTGTCCGGCGGTGCAATGTTCACATTTCGTTACCTCCTTTTTGCTGAATCATGTTACCAGCTAACCGCTCTGGGAGACACAGAACATAGAACGGCTTTTGGGTTGCTGTGCCCTCCGTGCCGTTACGTGTCATTATTTTCGTTATTACTGTACACCACGAGCCATCTCCATCCTACGGAGTATGCCTGAAATAGCTTTAATTAGGAAGATTTTAGCATTCTCCATATTCAATAAATGTACAAGTCTGAAGATTTGTAGAGCTGATTAGAAATCAAATAAGTACGGAAGATTTCTTTGTTACTTCAAATAGTCTACGACAAAAGGGGATATTTTAAGAGTCGCCATCTAAAAAACCCCACTACCCGCACCAGCAAGAATAAGCCTTAAATAAGAAGCCGGATTTCGTAAGTGCCAAAGAGAACAAGCGAAAGCTGGGGTAATAATTCGGGGCAAGCGACAGAAGAAGTGGAGCTACGGAGCAATTTGAAAGTCTGCCTGTATTCATATTGACTTGGAAGTCCTTGAACCAAATCAGTAATATGAGATATACTGTCGAACTTGTCAGTCCTTCAAGGAGATGTAAAAAGACAAACTACTGTAATTTCTAATGTTCCGGGGTTATCCATTTACCAAAAACCATGGTTCTTGAGATCCTTCTGGGATAATTTTCCCACCCTGCCAAGGTCGATCCCCCGAGGCTGGTACGTGCCGAGACCTTGGGGAAAGATGCAATCCATCAAATCTCGGACTTTATTGCTCGACGTCACAACATCTCGATGTCTCTATTTAAGTGGAAAGGGGTTGCTCTCGAAAAAAGCTAGCTATTTCCAACATTTCACTTTTCAATTCTCACCTTCTTTTTACTAAAATTATTATTGACTTTACATATATATCCGATACTCGCAATGATTGATGGACACACGGAAATCCATGTCAATGGGACAAATAACACCAATGGCAACTCTGATAGACGCGCTATTAATGGTGAAAGTGGGATAACGAATGGCAATATGATAATGGATGTTGAGGGCTCGATAGAAACTAATGAAAAAGTACGAGATATAGGCGTCGAGCCTATCGCTATTGTCGGCATGGCTACCCGACTTCCTGGTGGAGTTCATTCTCCAGAATCGTTCTGGGATCTTCTCGTCAACAAAAAAAACGCACGTTGTGATGTTCCAAAAGACAGATGGAACAGTGAAGCATACTACAATAAACACCGTAAACACGACACAATGGTAGCCAACTCCGGATACTTTTTGGAAGAACTCGACTTGGGTGATTTTGATGCAGCGTTCTTCAATCTATCAAAGGCTGAGCTGGTCAGACTTGATCCTCAGCAGAGGCTTCTTCTGGAGGTAACATGGGAGTGCTTGGAATCGGCAGGTCAAACCAATTGGCGGGGCAAAAACATCGGTTGTTATGTTGGAACTTTTGGAGAAGATTGGCATGATATTCAGCAAAAAGACCCCCAAGATACTGGCATTTACAGACTCACTGGCCATGGTGACTACGTTATTCCAAATCGTGTATCTTATGAGTTTGACTTCAAAGGGCCAAGGTAAGCTACAGAAAATCGCTTGTTCCTGCTTTTTCGATCAACGGTCGCCCAGCTAATCGACGGACATGACAGCATGGCATTTAAAACGGCATGTTCTTCCAGTTTAATAGCAATACACACTGCATGCGCTGCCATTCGAAATGGCGATTGCGAGAGCGCGGTGGTAGGTGGAACAAATTTGATTATAGGGTAAGCATCAATGGCAATTCATTTTTTATCACCCTGACTTCTTCAACGGGGGTAGAGACCAACTAACACCTCTGCAGTCCAGGAATGTCCATCAGCATGACAGAGCAAGGTAAGCTTCATTCTGGGCCCATTTCTTAAAATCATCTTGGAGATCCCTCCACGTTTTATGAAAACGTTTTGCCTTGTTTGTAATCAAAAAGGAAACTGACTCCGAGGCAACAGGAGTAATTTCTCCGTCGGGACAGTCAAGATCATTCGACGCCAGCGCGGATGGATATGCTCGAGGTGAAGCCATTAATGCCATCTATATCAAGGTACGTACTCTCTCCATGTTTCTTATTCTCGTGCAGGTCTAAGAGAACTGAACCCCTTCCTTTACTACATTATATGCAGTTTTTAAACTTCCATGGTCGTACATATAAAGATTCCTGAATTCGGTAGGGCTGACCGCATCATCTACAGAAATTGAGTGACGCAATCAGGTTTGTTGCTAGCACCCACAATCAGCTCAGCTATCATTTTTGATATAGTGACCAATCCGAATTAACAAATCATTCCAGGGATGGCGACCCAATCAGAAGTATCATCAGAGGCTCCGCAACGAACAGCGACGGCAAAACCACAGGTATCTCCTACCCCAACACCGAAGCCCATGAAGCCGTTATTCGAAAGGCGTATCAGCAAGCGGGTATCGAGGATTTCTCTCAAACCGCTATGGTCGAGTGCCACGGCACAGGGTAAGTAATAAGTTCCAGATTTCTTCATTCAGGTCTCGGACACGACAAAAAATGGCGCGCTAATATAAGTGTTCTGCCAGTACTCCAGTCGGGGATCCTTTGGAAGCGAATGCTGTTGCCAGAGTATTTGGAAAGAATGGAGTTATCATTGGCTCAGTAAGTTTATCCTGTTTAGCTGTTCCCACCCTGCATTGGAATCATGGGACTTAAAGCCATATTGTACTTGCTAGACGTCAACTTGACAACTTGGCGTTGTCTGTTGCCTGAGCTAGCTTTTGAAGAATCAAGTGATATACAATTATAATGCTTAGGAACTTTCTTTTGTTTTTGGATTACTTGAAGCTAGTACTACCAAAGGATCCTTTCACCCCTGGAAACAATCAAAGCAAAGCACACTCGCTAAATCTTTAATAGGTCAAACCAAATGTGGGACATGGTAAGTCATCTTTACAAAATTACAAAAAGCCCTTTTACACCGGCGCGAAAAAACCCGTTGGCCTCTAGGAAAGAAATAAACTAAACGATATACAGGAGAGGGTGCCTCCGGGTTGACCAGTACCATTAAAATGGTCCTAGCATTGGAGAAGAACACCATCCCACCAAACATGCTATTCAACACACCGAATCCTAAGATCCCCTGGGAGAGTGCTAAGCTTTCTGTCGCGAAGGAAGCCAGTCCATGGCCAGCCTCAGCTCTTCAGAGAGTCAGTGTAAACTCATTTGGAATTGCAGGCGCAAACGCTGTAAGTAATAACCTCCAATTTCCCCATAGAAAGCAAGTTGACAAATCAACAGCATATCATCATGGATTCTGCGGCATCATTCGGTGTGGGTAGATCTGCTAGTTCCAAAGCCACTACATCTCGTCCAGAATTGCTTGTTTTCTCAGCCAATCATATGGAGTCTCTCAAGAAAACCACAGGGAATTACCAGAGATTTGTTGGAACCAGCGATGTGGCTTTAGACGACCTTGCTTATACATTGAATTCACGACGAAACCACTTGTTATATCGAACATTCGCTGTTACAGACGGAAAGGATACAATGGAGTTCCCCGCTCCAACTAAGAGTGGCTCTCCACCGATACTCATCTGGGTATTTACAGGCCAAGGAGCACAGTGGGCAGGTATGGGCCGAGAACTGTTTGAGCACTACCCCTCATTTTGTGATGATATTCGGGAAATGGACGCAGTTCTTGCTAGCTGTCCGCATCCACCATCATGGACCATCGAAGGTATGCTTCTTCTCTCCTCAAGTAAGAACTTAGACTTTCTAACAGAACAAGCGGAACTTCTGAAACCCCAGGAGTCAAGCTCTCTCGATAAAGCAGAATTCTCGCAGCCACTATGCACGGCAATCCAAATTGGGATCGTCAATTTCATGCGATCATGGAAAGTGACACCACGTTGCGTCGTCGGTCACAGTTCTGGAGAAATTGCAGCAGCTTATTCCGTCAACGCAATTACAGCCAAAGAGGCAATTCTCATTGCATACTACCGTGGCCAGGTCACAAAAAGTAAGACTCAGCCAGGTGGAATGGCAGCAGTCGGTCTTGGTCGAGAAGTAGTTACACCATATCTAACGACTGGTGTCGTGATCGCATGCGAGAACAGCCCAGAAAGCGTGACGATATCTGGAGACTTAGACAAACTTCAAGAAGTAATGGCTGCTTTGAAAGAAGCTAAGCCAGAAGCTTTCGTTCGCCTTCTCAGAGTGGAGAAAGCATACCATTCTCGTAAGTTGCTTGATGGGATTTTATTGACAGCCTACTGATAGTATTAGATCATATGAAAGCGTACGGAGAGGAGTACCAAGCACTTCTACAAGACAAGGTTACTAGTCGTCAGCCCACGATCCCGATGATGTCCAGTGTCACTGGGAAGCCCATTACCCAAGCTGGCAAACTCGACGCGGAATACTGGAGGGCCAATCTGGAATCTCCAGTTCTCCTCCACACGGCTATAAACAACATCTTGAATCCCAGCATGCAACGAAGTGTGTTTTTAGAAATAGGGCCCCATGCCGCATTAGCAGGTCCATTGCGACAAATCTTCAAAGCTTCGAGTGTGAACCCAAACTACGTCCCCACACTTCAAAGAAATGCCAATGCCACAAAAAGTCTTCTATCTGCGATTGGTCATCTTCACTGTCACTGCTATGAAGTCGATTTCCTGGGTACAAACCCAAGCAGAAACGTTCTTACAAATCTCCCATCTTACGCATGGCATTATGAGTGCAAATATTGGAAGGAAAGTCGTATTTCTAAAGCTTACCGTATGAAGGAATTTCCTCATCACGATACGCTTGGAAGTCGTGTCGCTATGGCCAATGATTTCACTCCCACTTGGCGAAATATTATCAGTCTTGACAATGTCCCTTGGATTGAGGATCACAAGCTCCATACTGATATTGTATTCCCCGGTGCTGGTTACATTGCCACGGTTGGGGAAGCGATTCGTCAACTTACCGGGCTAGAAGACTATACCGTCAGAAATGTTACCATCAGTGCTGTAAGTTGACATACAACCTCTCTATATCGATGTTTACTAATATCTAACCACTGAAGGCCATGGTCTTCCCTGATTCGAGAGAATTGGAGATGATGACTTACCTCTCCCCAAGCCGAGTCACTGTCAGCTTAGACTCTGTATGGCACGATTTCACAATTTCATCTTACAGCGGTACCTCATGGACAAAGCACTGTATCGGTCAAGTAAGAGGTGGTTCGGAAACAGAAGTTACAACCCACGTCGAAATTCCAGATCTACCAAGAAAATTACCTAGTCCAAGGTGGTACCAAACAATGTCCAATGTCAGCCTCAATTATAGCGGCAGCTTTGTTGGCTTGAAACAAATCTCTGCCGGGGTTAAGGGAAATATCGCTGCTGCCAGCGTCATGGACGAGTGCAAGGTCACGGAATCCCATTATGCCCTCCATCCAGCAACCATTGATCTTTGTATTCAACTCTTCAGTGTGGCGCTTGCGAAAGGCCAAACACGTGTTTTCGATCACCTCTGTATACCCACTTACATCGAAGAGTTATACATTCGACCCAGCGCCAAGGAGATACGTCTACAGGCTCAAACGACTTCCAAGCAAAACGTGATTACTGGTAATGCATATGGAACCGTAGATGGCGAGACTGTTCTTGAACTGAAAGGCTTGAGACTTTCACCCGTGGAAGGAGAAGCGAACCCCGATGCTGATCCTCACGCGGGAGTCGAGCTCGTATGGAAACCCGATATCGATTTCTTGGAAGACAAAAACTTGATAAGAGTTTCCAAAAGCGCCCGGGACGTGCATGTTCTCGTTGAGAAACTGGCTGTGTTGTGCATTCTAGAGACCAGCGCTCAACTTACCAGTGCCAATTGCAGGCCCGAGGATGAATGCTTCATCAAATTCGCGACATGGATTAAAGAACAGAAATTGCGAATTCTTAGCGGTGATTACCCATTGGTTCCAGATATTGCTGAACTGTCGAATGTTGACGAGGGCACTCGGATGGTTATGATTCGCAGCATCTACGAGGAAACACAGAAGACCGATGGTGCAGCAGTCGGCGAAGCCTTGCTCCGAACTCTTGAGAACTTTGAAAAGATTCTTAGTGGCACAGTTGATCCTAAGGATTTGCTTCTTGAAGAAGACCTGTTCACCCGAGTATATGGATTTGCCGGTACTTGCGATCACAAAGAGTTTTTTAACCTTTTGACGCACAGCAAACCACACTTGAACATTCTCGAAATCGGAGCTGGAACTGGAACCGCTACCGAGACAATCTTGAGAAATCTGGAATCGGAATATGGCGAGCGTTTGTATCGCAAGTACACATACACAGACATCTCAGCAGATTCATTTGATACGGCAAAGAACAAGTTCCAGAGTTATGCAGGTATAGATTATGCCGTTCTTGACATTAGCAAAGACCCAATCGAGCAGGGATTTGAGGCCAACTCTTATGATCTGATTATTGCTAGCAATGTAAGTGTACCCGTTTGCTTTTTGGAATTCCTTACTGAAGATACATGAAGGTCATTCATACTAGTCCAAGTATCATAGAGTCTCTTACCAACATTCATAAATTACTCAATCCACATGGTCGTTTGTTCATGCAGGAACTTTGCCCAGGTAAGCCACCCGTGCTGATTTCTAGACTGACGGCTAAACTGGAACTCACAGAAACCAAATGGGTCAACTATATAATGGTAGGCTACTCTTTCTATGAGCTGTAGCCGGTTGCTAACATATTTTGAAGGGCTTGTCTGCAGGTTGGTGGTCAGATGAAACTAAAAACCGAATTGGAGCGCCCTTCATCTCAACAAAACGATGGGATGAAGAACTACGAAATGCCGGATTCTCTGAAGCTGAGACTGTAGTCCATGATAACGAGAAACCATACCAAATTATTGCAAACATCATAGCATGTCCCGTGGTCACAGCCTCTATCACCAAGAAAGTAACACTTCTCTACGCCGACGCTATCGGGTCTGCATTACGAGAAGTAGAATCAACCCTTATTTCGAATGACTATGAAGTTGCAGTCTGCCAATTTCCTCAAGCACCACCACCAGGTCAAGACATCATATCCTTGATAGACCTTGAACGTCCATTCTTCACCGATATCTCATCAGACCGATTTTCTCAATTCGTAGAGTTTACAGCATTGGTAGAGAGTCTTCAAGTGGGAGTTCTATGGGTCACAAAAGCATCGCAAATGAATTGCGTCGACCCATCTTATGCTCCAGTCATCGGGATAGCCAGAACGATCCGATCCGAAGTTGGAATTGCTTTTGCAACGCTGGAAATTGAATCTGTTGACTCTGAAACTTGGACACCTCTATGCCAAGTATATCAGAAATTCCAGCGCCGGACGAAGGACGAGGAAGTTGATTGTGATTCCGAATTTGCGTTATCCGAGGGTATCATCTATACCAGTCGCTTCCATTGGCTTTCCGTCTCAAAGGAACTCGCTCAAACCGCAGTCTCTGAGATCCCCAAGATCTTGGAAATAGAGAAGAAAGGACAACTTTCAACTCTCCATTGGCTTCACGTTCCTAACCGGGAACTAGCTCCAGATGAAGTCCAAGTCGAATGTCGCGCTGTCGGCATGAATTTCAAGGACGTCCTCATCGCCATGGGGATCGTCGAGGGACAACTGGCGGACAGCAGTGGTCTTGGCTGCGAGTGCGCAGGCGTCATCTCCAAGGTAGGAAGTGCATGTAAGACTTTGACACCCGGGGATAGAGTCATGCTCTTCACACCAGGAGCACTTGCCACGAGTCTGGTGCTAAGGGAAGAGCTTTGCGCCAAGATTCCAGATAGTCTCAGTTTCGAGGATGCGGCTACGATACCTTGTGTCTATGGTACCGTCATCCATTCCCTCTTGAATCTTGGGAGACTCGAGAAAGGCCAATCGGTTCTCATACACTCGGCAACTGGTGGTGTTGGTATTTCCGCCATACACATTTGCAAGTATTTCGGAGCGGTGATTTACGTCTCTGTCGGCACGGAAGAAAAAGTCAAATATCTTATGGATACATTCGATATCCCCCGTACCCACATCTTCAACTCCCGAGACTCATCGTTCATCACTGGCGTAATGCGAGAAACAAACGGTCGAGGTGTAGACCTAGTTCTCAACTCCCTCTCAGGCGATCTGCTTCACACATCCTGGAAATGCGTCGCTGCATACGGCAAGATGCTTGAAATTGGCAAACGAGATTTCATTGGAAGAGGAAAACTCACCATGGATCTCTTCGAAGCGAATCGATCCTTTTTCGGTATCGATACCCAGAAACTTTGCGTCGAGAAGCCCGAGATGATTGGCAAACTCCTCGAGCAGGGGTTGGATTTATATGAGAAGGGAGGACTCAAGCCACTACGCCCGATCACGTACTTTGATGCGACTCAAGTAGAGGAAGCTTTCAGATTCATGCAGCGAGGAGAACATATGGGAAAGATTGTGGTCAAGATGCCGATTGATAAAGCCATTTTACCAGCGGTTCCTATGCCCAAGGATCTCATGCTTCGGCCTGGTGCCTCTTACCTCTTGGTTGGTGGCTTAGGAGGACTTGGACAGGCTGTGTCAACTTGGATGGCTGAAAATGGTGCCAAGAACCTCATTTACCTTTCCCGAAGTGCTGGTAAGACTGAGAGAGACCAGATTTTCATCAAGGAGCTCGAAGCGTATGGATGTTCGGTACAAACATTTGCCGGCAGCGTTTCTGAGCTTAGTGATGTTGAAAATGTGGTCAAGAACGCTGCAATGCCAATCGCAGGAGTCATGCAAATGTCGATGGTTTTAAGAGTAAGTAACAGAACCCATTCCTCAGCAAACTCCCTACTAACAAAACCAGGATGGAGCATTCTCTCAAATGTCCTTCGACGACTGGCAAACAGTCATATCGCCAAAAGTCCAAGGAACATGGAATCTCCACAAAGCACTAGGTTCTCTCGACTTCCTCGTCCTATTCAGTTCCATCTCCGGTCTAGTCGGTCAAATAGGACAAGCCAACTACGCCGCAGCCAACACCTTCCTCGACGCCTTTGTCCAATACCGACACCATCTCAACCTCCCCGCCTCAGTCCTCGACATCGGCGCCGTCTTCGACGTAGGCTACGTCTCGGAAAACAAGATGGTGCTCGAAACCTTCCTGAGCTCAGGCGTCTACGGGCTCAAAGAAAAGGACCTCCTCGACTCCCTCCATCTAATGATCAACCGTTCCAGTCCTTCGAAATCCACACAAGCGAGTTTCTGCAACCACGGCCAAGTAGGCATCGGTTTCCGGTCCACAAAACCCATCACCGACCCCCAGAATCGAAACATCTGGAAGCGAGACCCGAGAATGAGCATCTACCGCAATCTCGAAACGGTTTCTGACGTTTCCGTGGCATCAACTAGTAGTGCTCTCTCCCAATTCCTAAGCAACGCACGGAGCACGCCTTCAGTCCTGGATCAAAAAGAGAGCATGGTGTTTCTGGCTACAGAGATTGGACTGCAATTATTTAGTTTCTTGATGCGGTCAGAGGATGAATTAGATATTAGCATGAGTTTGACGGCTGTCGGGTTGGATAGTTTGGTCGCTATTGAGATGCGGAACTGGTGGAGGCAGAATTTAGGGTTTGATGTTACGGTGTTGGAGATTTTGGCGGCGGATAGTATTGAGCAGCTGGGAGAGTTGGCTGCGGGAAGACTCAAGGCCAAGTACGATCCGAGTGATGTTTGAATGACTTTTCGGATTGGAACATGAACTGTATTTGTATTGCGCTAGAGTTAAGACCCTGTAATTTTATCTGTAGATGTAGAACTAAGAAGCACATCCTACAAATCTGTACAGCATCACACATTCTTCCTCCAGTGAAGTCTTGTCAAGCCTCGCTACTAATCTTCTTATCTCGGTCGCGGCCAAACCATAATAAAAGTGCAGTCAGATCATCATTACGTTTTAAACGCACGAATATCAGCTTTCGAAGTAAAAGCTCTTGAGGAACCCAGTCCCTGCAACAGCATGGTAATCTCATCGAAGTATTATCAAGGCTAAGCGAGTTCAAACATACCCTAGAAAAGTGAGGAAAGCTTTAATCTTTATGTAGTTGAGAAATAGATGGACCTGGAAAATTAAGCGAACAATTCGCTTGCTTCAGGGAGTAGAACATCATCCGCGCAACCTGCCGTTGGAAGGGCTATTTATGCTAGAAATACGTGCACCTTCACCTGACATTTCACGCACCTCTAACAGGCACAACAAGCAAGAATCACTTAGACAATAGAACCCAATTATGAGGTGGCCGAAATTTTCTCATTACGCATACCCTGATCGAGGGCCAAGTCCGAAATCGTCCACTATGGAAAAATTTCCCTCATCCATAACCATCAAGATCATGAACACAACTACAGCTACAGCTTCCCCATGCATCCCAACAGAAACTCAAAACCCAACCAAAGAGAGTGGCGCGAGGAGGTCACCCGACCTTGTGGTAGCAAGCCCTAGATCCTGAGACTTCAAAGCAAACAAACACCATCGAGGCATTCTTTTCCCACGAAGCCCAAGACCCAAAAATGACCTATCAAAAAATTTCAAATCGCATTTCCTTTCCATTTCCGTGATCTCAAAAACAGCAAAGCAGGGGGTATTAGAAAAAATAGTAGAGGATGATGAAAGTTATCCCGTCATCGGAAGGCGGCCAACCTCGTTTGATAGAAGTGAAATTTGGTTGAGAGCAAATTCCATAAATGGTCCAATCTGATGGAGATGAGCTGTCGTCCTCGAAATTCAAATTCGCTTAACTCCGAGCCAAGTACCTCACGCAGAACATTGCAGCCAGTTTAGATGGTTTTTGGGGTACGAGCATTGCTTGAAAAGTCAGCATGGTTCGAAGGGTTGAGTGTAGCAAAAGAGGATCTTTTTTCACGAAATCAGCCTACCCCATATCCACAATATCGTCAACATGATTGCAAAGAGCTACGAAAAGGTCAAAGAAAAGTTTACCGCCACTCTCCATTTCTGTCTGCATGGTTCCGCTCCTCTTAAATGTCTTGCGACATCTGATAATCAAGGCAAGATAATGAGCGCGCAATCGCGAGTCCGAGTCCGGCGTGTTGTCATAGGCATATCGTGCACTGCGAAGGATGGTCGCAACCTCGATTCCACTCTGCAGACCTTGCTTGCGAAGCGAAAGGCGTTTGAGCTCCTCGAGACCGTACTTCTCCGCCGCACAATATATGACTGTATCTCGTAAGAGATACTCTCCCACACTAGAGATATATGTTGTAGCCTCGACTGATCCGCGGCCACCTGGGTTTTCTGGATTGGGGGACTTCTCGACATCCTCGAGTTCCCAAGAGTTCCTACGCTTGTTGTGCACCAAGCGGGGGTAGTAGTCGCCCTTGTATAGGTACTCGAGTATGCACGAGAAGATTTCTGGTTCTTCGTCGGGGAGATCGATCCTCATGCTCTGCGAATCACGGATGGGTCCTCGTAAGGCCGTTACGAAAAACGGCGAGACGGAGAGAACGTCTTCGTGAGCCGCAAAGAGTCGTCCGTCCTTGCCAACTGTGAAGCTCACAATCCGCGAGGTGAGAGAGCTGTTTCAGACACTGGTTAGTCACTATTTCCAGCCACCCAAATTCCGTTCGCACGCCCCGATTAGGCAGGGCTGGGCGACATACCTCGAGGCGGGCGAGCTCTCAAAGGACTTCTTCAATTTCGCCAACTTCGCATCTCGATCCCGAGAGGACTTCTTCAACTTCGTCGCCTTCTCCACGCGGTCATTGGTCCTGAACGAGCGCTTGAACATGGCGGTGGCGTGGTGGTGATTGACGTTGAGAGCGGTTCTGATTGGGATGGAGGGGTGTGTAGATGTGAATGAGCGACGGAAAGAGCGTGAGGGGTCGTGAGAGGGAAAGAGAGAGAGAGAGAGAATTGACGCACAAGAATGATTGACTGGGCCCTGGCAGATATCTCTAGATATTCAAAGAAAGACTAGAGAGTATCGTGGTGTTTTTGCGACCCTTGAGTGTGGTGGAGAGGAGAGGAGAGGAAAAGAGAAGATGGTCGCAAGCCGCCGAATAAGTATTGCAGCCCCCCCAGGCACCCAGCCGCTGCACTGCACTGCGCTGGGCGATAGTCGATCACGTGCAGCTTCTGACTGGAGGCTGCATCGTGAAGTGTCGAATCACCATCAACACTATAGGAAAAGTGCTGGATTGGGCTGAGGAGGCAACGGTTGATTCGCTGTCTTGATAACAACCTTGGTTATCCTAGTGACAGGCATCAACCGAGTGACGCATCGCTGGGAGTCAACAGGGGAAAGCTCCGCTTTTCTTTTTTTTCCTGGTAAAAGCAGCAGTGACGACATGTAAACAACTGAATCTTTAGTCTTCGACTTGCAATTGAAAAAGGTATACTAATATCCTCATTCGGTTTGTAAAATGAAATCTGCCGTTTCCATGGCGTCAGCCATCACCCAACTAATTGACATTCTGGCAAGTTGGATACGCTTTCTTAAGACAAACAACTGTTTACTTCTACAGACAGACCACTGCTGCTTTTCCAATCCCCAAAAGAACTTCAAAAGAGCCGCAGGGGGCGGGGCTTTTCGGGG